AGAGCTGGTACCATCGTCGCCATCGTCGTTTTTACGCCTCAACTGTTCATCCACGTTGTGCACGAATTTCTTAACTGGTTGTGCCTTCTTGCTGCCATCGAGGCTCTTGCTCAGAAATGGCTTTGCTTTGAGCGTTGGCGATTCGGCCACCTGTCGGGGTTTGTGATCTGGAGTCAGTTCCGGGATACATTCTACCACTGCCTGTAGATCCTCGGAGCCCTCTGGGACCCCGCGCTCGGGCAGCGGCATGGTAAATATGCTCTTTAGCGAGCCAAATATCATCTTGCTGCTGTTGTCTAGCAGTTGGTGCTTGATGTCATGCACGTTGAACTTCTTCACCCGCCCATTGAGGTCCTGTTCGAGTATGATGTTTGTCTGTCGCTTGGTTTTCTTTAAGCAGCTCGACTTGGGCATCTTCTCTTTGTTCCAAACAGACTTGACCTTGGGGCTGTCGGCGTCTCCGATATTAGGCTCCGAATAATAGCAGTTGTCACCTTAGATAATTTGGATCAAGAAAGGATAGTTATTATTTTGAAGGCAACTGATATAGACCGATCTTACCGATTAGATTGTTGTTGGCGTTGCTCATACCGATGCAGTCGCAGGAACTGCTCTTGGCCTGCTCGTACTGCTTGCGATTGCCATTGGAGTTTTTGTCCTGCTCGTCCGAGTCCAGGCTGGAATTGGAACTGCTGCAGACGCACTTGTAGAGGTGCGATGGCTCCTCGGCCTTTGGTCCATATTCAAAGACACCCGAAGTGTCGTAGTGCAGACCAGCCGCCTCGTCCGTATCGAAAATATCCGTATTGGCATAGTCTAGGACATCGGAGCATGCATTCCTGTAGACCAGGTGTCTCTTTCGCCTCGCTCCATTACCGTCGCCAGTCGCGTCCTCTCCATCGTCTTCTCGGCCAACGGAACTCAGTTCATTGGGTCCCTCTGGACGCTCCCGGTCCGGGCACCAGGAATATCGACCCGGAGCGCCGGCCACGCCCGCAGAGTTGGCAAATGCTAGCTTTCGACCGTTTTTATATGTGATGAAGCCATGCTCGATATGAATGTTGTCAGTGCGTGTGTTCTTTAGGATGTCCTCGTGGAAGGATACCCGCTTCTTAGGCGTTTTGGCAGCTGATGAGGTCTTATGCACCTTGCGACGGTACACGATCTTCTCGGTGGTGTCGAATGTGGAGCACTCGCTGATGGTCATAGACTCCTCAGGCGCGACGACTGCGGCAGGAGTCAAATTGGAGTTGGGGTCCACCACGGATGTGAGGGGAAAAGTGGATGACGGCCGCAGGTTTTCCTCATAGGAACATATGGACTCCACCATCACGTCACTGTTCTCCGAGTCCAGCATTTGGACACCAGAGTCGCTGGGCGTAGTGTCCTCCATGGTGCTGCTGCTGTTCAGGCTGCAGCTCATCTTGTCAACGGGCGAGATCACCTTGCCGGAACCCATGCCCAGGTTGTTGTTGGCCTTAGGATACACAGGGGACTCCATGGTTGTTGTAGTTGTTTTTCGCACTTGTTGGTAGCTTTTATTTATTCTTTAACCTTTGAGAAAAAAAGGAAAGATTATTGTGTATCTCGGCGTTCTTGCAATTAATCAATATCCACAAGTTGCACAATGCGCCGCAGCGGAATCGCGTCACCCTGCATAAAGGAAAATGATGACCCCTGACCCACCGCCCCCGCCCGCAAATCGCACCGGGCTTAAAAATTTTCAACACCTCATTTTCGTCACTCACCTGCGATTGTCGCGCAGATTTCCATGTTACTTTAGGTCTCAATAATTTTGTTTATTCTTTCGCACCTGTTTTGGGGTCTTTAAAATAGATTTTTTGCCACACTGCCTGCATTTTTAAGTCGCCAAAAAACCAAAAGTGAACAATCAATATTTTGACCTGCCAGCGTTGCCAACGTTGTGAACAGCTGATTGTCACGACTGTGCTGCCAGACTTGAAAAGTGGTTGGCAACGCGACCGTTACTTTTGTGAAATAATAAGCTCTGTTTCTTGTTCGATTATAATAATAGGGAGTTGGAGTTTTAAAAATTAGTAAAATCATTTACATTATTTTGGTTGGCCAAACGTGCTCACTTAAATACTATACAAATTATAAAACACACTCAAACATCTTTTAAAAACTATTGAAGTTATATTCCATAACCACATGCATAAATAACTTAATAATTTTAAATGCATCAAGTAAAATTTAAATTATTCACTAATTTTCGTTCATCTTTTTAAAACTGAAATGCAATTGGAAACTTTGGCGAAAGCAAAACCTGGAACTTGCGCGATAAATCATTTTTGCAACCCGTTGGCGCCCATTTTTTTTTTAATTTCGTAACTCTGTGTCAGTCAAGCTCTTTTTGATAGATCTTTCACAGTTATTTATCGCAAAATACAGAGTGCACATTTAAATTAATGCCCTTGCCCGTCAGTACGCACACCATTTCCTGTTCGCCGCCCTTTCGCTGGGCACCGGGGTCAGCTGTCAATTTGAAAAGTGGAATGTGCGAATGCCAATGAAAGCGAATGAAACCATAGAAATTAATTTATCACACTTTGCAGCACATCACAATCGTCGCGATAACTCTGCCTGCCGTTTGTTTATTGGTTTTTGCAACGGCCAGAAGAAGGCGAGTAAAAAATAATTCGCTGCACACGTTAAATAATCCTCAAATCGAGTTCAGTTCCGCGCGGATCCCGAAATGAGCGACTTTGGACAATGACATGGCTGCTGCTGCTGCACCTGGGCGATGTGTTGTGGGAAAAGAACAATATTAAACCCAAAGCTAGTGTGTTCATAATAATGCAAAATCCAACTGATAAATTGGCGGCGTTTAGATCCCTGATTGCGCTGGCAATCTGCCTGCACACGCTGGAGCAATCGATCCAGCCGTGTCACTGTGTTCATGGTTTCAGGTGGGTGCGACTGCCATTGCCCTCAGTTTCATCAGATTTCGCCACAAGGCTGGATTTTCCACGTTCACACATGTAAACGTATTTCCCTTTCCGTTGACAGAAACAATACTGAGAGCGCCGAGCTGGTCTCCCACTACGAGTCGAGCCTCTCGCTCCCGGACATTCTGCCAATTCCGTCGAAAACCTACGACAAGAATAGGGCTCCAAAGCTGCTGGGTCAGCCCACCGTAGTCTATTTCCATGTCACGGTCCTCTCGCTGGACTCCATCAACGAAGAGTCTATGGTGGGTAATTTTATTTGGACCCATAGATATCCAAAAGTTATATGGTTATTCCTCCGGCAGACCTATGTGACGGACATTTTCCTTGCACAAAGCTGGCGTGATCCTCGCTTGCGGCTGCCCGAGAATATGAGCGAACAGTATCGCATCCTGGATGTGGACTGGCTGCACAGCATATGGCGACCCGACTGCTTTTTCAAGAACGCCAAGAAGGTCACCTTTCACGAGATGAGCATCCCGAATCACTATCTCTGGCTGTACCACGACAAGACGCTGCTCTACATGTCCAAGCTTACGCTGGTGCTGTCATGCGCCATGAAGTTCGAGTCCTATCCGCACGACACGCAAATCTGCTCCATGATGATCGAGAGTTGTAGGTGGAAATGTGTAGTTTCACTAATCCCTAATCCCTTATCGCTTGAAGGTTTCCCGCTTTTCTCTTCTTTTAAAATTTTTTCCCAAGGTGACAGAAATTAAGCAATCTTTGATTGACAGTATCTCATACGGTGGAGGATTTGGTGTTCATTTGGAACATGACTGACCCACTGGTGGTCAATGCGGAGATTGAGTTGCCTCAGCTGGACATATCCAATAACTATACGACCGATTGCACCATAGAATACTCAACGGGTGAGCATAGAAGTATATAATAATAAATTATATAATACGCAGTATATCTGGGATAAAGGTGGTTTTAAATCAAACTTTAAAGTGTCTAAGTAGTAGTTAATTTCCATTTATTGCTGACCTACCTTTATTTTATCAGGTAACTTCACCTGTTTGGCCATCGTGTTCAATTTGCGACGACGCCTGGGCTACCATTTGTTCCACACCTACATTCCCTCGGCTCTGATCGTGGTCATGTCGTGGATATCGTTCTGGATCAAGCCGGAGGCGATACCAGCCCGTGTTACCCTGGGAGTGACCTCACTGCTGACCCTTGCCACCCAGAACACACAGTCGCAACAGTCGCTGCCTCCGGTTTCGTACGTAAAGGCGATAGACGTCTGGATGTCGTCCTGCTCCGTGTTCGTCTTTTTATCCCTGATGGAGTTTGCCGTGGTCAACAACTATATGGGACCGATAGCCACCAAGGCCATGAAGGGCTACTCAGACGAGAATATCAGCGATTTGGATGATCTAAAGGTGAGATAGATAAAAGGATAAATTAGAAACAAACTCGCCTAACGCCTCTTAGCCTGCCCTGCAGCATCATCGGGAATCGATTATTGAGCCACAGTACGACACTTTCTGCCATGGCCATGCCACAGCCATCTATATAGACAAGTTCTCGCGCTTCTTCTTTCCGTTCTCGTTCTTCATACTCAATATTGTCTACTGGACAACGTTCCTCTGATGACGATGTGGTTGGGTTGGATGGATGGCTAAGAACACCAACAGTAATGAGTAATAATACCAAGGGCATTTGTTTAAAAATGTATATTATCGTTTGTAAGCCACAAATAATTGCATTAAAGTATGTATTATATATTGATTACCATGTAGTGTATATAAATAAAGGAAAGCGTTTAATAATAATAATAATTATATTAATAGGGGTTAGTTTAAACTTTAGAGGAAGCAATCAAGAAATGCATTTCAATTGCGCAACAAAGGTGGAATATTCTTTGGTAAATTCACTATATATACCTACACATATATGTATATAGTTTGTGTTGTTTATGCATAAGGCTATATATATATGTATATAAAAAATGTATGTATACAAAACTTGCGGTCGTGGCGGTTTTTCCATTTTCATCGTTAATTTATAATATATGTAGTCTGATTTTGTGTTTGTTTTGTTTTGCAATCACATAATTTATATAGTTTCTTTACATTCACATTTACAGTTGGATTTCATTGTTTAACTAACGCTTCGTTTCGCTTTCTGCTAACATAATTGGCATAATTGTTGCTAAAACATTTATGTTAATGGGTGCGAGCGATTTAACAGATCAAAAATCAACTAGGCCAGGGCTTTGACCTACGCAAGATAGTTCAGTTATAATGATATGATACACAGATTCGGAATATTAAATAAGTAGTGCTAGAAAGGGATACTGGTTAGTTCTACCTCGAAACGGCGGATCGAAGTGAAAAGGTTAGGAAAGTGTGCGAACAACCGAACAAGATGGTAATGAGACTTTAACTTATTGCAAGCACGCTTGCAACTTTTCAATCCATTCCTGTGCCAGATTCGCGTTCATCGCATAAAAGTTGTAGGTGCGTTTCGACGTTTTAAGCTGAAATTTGATAAAGAGCAGTTATAAGATATTATACATATTGATATTATATAAATATGTTCCACTTACATCAAAAAATCCCTTTTCATCCACACCTTTGGCGCCAATTTGTGCAGGTTGTGCGGCAGTTACAGACTGCACCTCAGCCAGTTCTAAAATATAAAAATAATAATATCCAGCCTTAACTAATAGTTCTATATACACATACCAATGATGCCCTTGGGAGCGGTATCCTCAGCTGTGTCATAGTAACGAAGCTGGTGCTTAATCGAGTCCAGGACAAACCAGCGCTGTTTCCATCCTTTGAGCAAAGCGCCTCGCTTATAGAGGTGTCTATGGGGATTTTATATTTGAAATTAATTTAACTTTAAATTTTAAATAATTTATAGCATTCAAACTCACCCTTCGTGCGTCCGATTTTCGGCCACGTTACTGCTAAACTGATTGTAGAAATGATGGCTGGAAGTGCGTGCCGTCGTGGCGGCACTGGAGGCAATGCTGGCCGTGTCGCCCTGCGACATGCTCACATTCGGTGGCCCCACAGTACCATCGATGGCCTTGTACTTGGTGCAGTTCTTCATGGACAGCTCGGTGCACTTTTCGTGGTAAGAGTTGCCGCAATCCATGCACCGATAGCCGACTGGTCCCCAGAGGAGCTTAGTGCAGTGGTTACAGTTGGTGGGCGTGGTATACGGATGCTTCTCGAAGCGATGGGGATGGAAGTACTTGTCCTGGTAGCCAGCCAAACGACCCTTCATGATGATCTCCAGCGTGGAGCGCTTGTGCTGATGCGTTTGCACGAAGATCTTACCGAGGGAAGCGTTGCGTGGAATGGGCTCCAACTTGGGCACTTCTAGACTATTCCATACTTGAAGCCACTTTTGGGGTAGAATTCCTCGCTCCGTCTCCGCCTGCCTCACCTCGCTGAGCAGGCAGACATAGGCATTGGGATTGTATTTCTCTGGGTTGTCATAGCCGGCTGTGATGACCATGCGCTTGCCCTTCATCTCGGACAGATCGATTTCGTCGTCTACGGTGGTCACTTCCAGATCATATGGCGGTCCCTGAGCAAGCTCTTCGTTGGTGTAGTAACTCCATAAATCCAAGGCAGCCACATTGTTCTGCGGCCGCAGGGTCATATCCTTGTCGCCGGAGTAGAGGAAGTTGTAAAAGACGGGCGTCTTGTTATGCTGCCTTTCGATATAGTCAAAGATGGAGTGACCAATGCGACTCATTGGCGCCGGTGTCCTCGGACTCCTCAAGTCCATTGGGTACACGTTGCACTCATCGTCGGAACCGTTCGATGCCATGCCACCACCGCCTCCAAACAAGTGCTTGGCGTTCAGCGATCCGCGCTTGTCTTCCATGGCAGCGATGCCAGAGTCCGAGCGCTCCAGCTCGCAGTCGAAGAGGAAGGTGCGGAAGCGGCACGACACAGCATGGTAGGCGAGGAATCTCAGATAGAAATCGTTAAACTCGAATGCCATGGGAAACTGGCTCTGCAACTGATGGACCACGTCCAGGAACTGCAGAAAAGTGGGTGCAAATGCGATGTTTGTGTTGGCATGCGAGGGCTTCAGGTTGCTGCGATGCGCAAAGCGATGGCCAAATGCTAGCCACTCCTTCTCCACCAGCACCCGGAAGCCATCGAGTGTTCGATAGTAGGGGTCCAGGCAAAGCTGGGCAATTGAGCTGAGTTGGGCGGTCACATCGGAGCCATCTTCCAACGAGAGCATCACACTACTCTCCTGCAGATCAATGAGGTCCACCACCGCTCCGGATAACTGCATCAGTGAGGAGATCTGCTGCAGCCAGTCGGAGTGCTCCACCATCTTGGCAAAGCTTTGGCCATCAGCCTCGTTGGTGTTATGCGATGGCATGCAGGCGCGAATAAGCTTCTTGAAGGCCGGACGCGACTGCCTGATGTCCGGGTAATCCACGGGAATGAAGTCCGCGCAAAAGTCCACATTCATATTTGACTTGGCCTGTGATTTCTCACCCAATGCGTACAGTCGCATCTTGCGGAATGCTCCATGAGAGTTGGAGGCGTTCTGATTTCCCTTCATCGTTCCACCTTTGCCTCCAACTCCTTGGCCGGATTTGCTGCCGTCGCTGACCATGTCCAGGTTATTCTTGTGCTTGCGCGACAACTCCGGCGTGAGGCACTGTCGATCGTCGGAGGAGGGGCCGTGGCCCAGCAGCGAATTCATCGAGAGATTCATGCCCGAATACTGATTGATGGCCAGCGGAGTAAGCTTTGGCATTGTGTTGATCAGGGCCAGGAAGTACTTATCCTGCTCGGGGTAGTGAGTGACATCGTGATGGGCGTTCGTGTTGCTCCCCGTAGTGTTCTTTAGCATTCCGATGACCGACTTGCTGTTGGGCTGGGCACCCCGGATGAGCAAGGCTCCGTTCGTGTGCCGCCAGGTGGGTAGCGGGATGCGCTGACCCTTGAAGCAGCGGCCCAGATGCATAATGGCCGCATCGCTGCACTGAACGGGAGCCACAATTATTGCAGGATAAGATCGGCAGGTGGCGTAGCTGGCATTAACATTGCTGATGCGGAATCCACGCTGCGACTCTGCATCGAAACCAAGTCGCTTCCAGTCCTGCACATAGCTCCGCTCGCGCATTCGTTCAACATCTTTGTTGGTGAGCACCCTGGGCATGGCATTGTTTTGCGTTTCAAACTCATCGCCATCCTGCAACTCGTCGTCTATGGACTGCGTTTCCGCTCCGGCGTCCGCTCCACCGTATTCATAGTCCGAGACCAACTTGCGCTTGGTTTGCTGCTTCTGCTTGTATCCAGCCTTCTTGGCCGTCCGGAGCAGGGTCTTCTTGGCGAATCCCTTTATCGTCGAGTACTTCTCCTTCGTTTTGGGCGGAGCTACACCCTGGAGTATGGTGCCGTATGACTGGAAGGCAAAGTATTCAAACTCGTCGAAGGGGTGGCGCGCCTTGCTCAATATCTTCCTAAAGCTTTCGATTTGCTCTGGCGTTACCTCAGGATCGAAGGCAACTTTGAGCAGCTGGAAGCTGCTAGAGCGAAGCTGCAGTCCTTCGGGTAGCGTCTGATCGAGGTGGGCCAAATACAGCACCGATATCTTCTTTTCCTTGAGTAGGGAGGCGATGGGAAAGGAGCGCACAATGACCTGTTCGCAATAAAGTGGATCGCAGGGAGAGCCCTTGAAGACCACGCGATAGTTGGTGAGGAACAGAGCTCCCTCTGCGGGTATCAGGCACTGGGTGTCGTCCTCGCGACCATCCGGCATAAGGAAGCAGCGCAGATGGTCGGTAACGAACTCCTCGGCCGGCAGCAGGCAAGGCGTCTGGATCTTGGGCTTCTGCACATGCGGATGGCGCTTCGCCTCCAGGTAGACCGGTTCCAAAGACTCGATGTGCATATGCACCACACCCGGCACCATATCGTGTAGGTTGCGTATGTGGTCGGAGGTCACTCCACCCTCGGTGCACACACAGTCAATGAAGCGCGAAATAGTCTTCCCGACAGAAACGCCGATTTCCATAGCATTGTTCTCCTCGAATCCATCGTCGGAATGTTCGCTCAGGCTATGCGAGCCAATAATACTGCAATCGGAAAGGTAATTTGAGCTCAACATAAAATTGTATCGAGTCCGTTTCCTTACCTATTTGAAACACTCTGATTTTCGTCCAAACGAAATGCGGGCTTAGGTTTGCTGGCGGCATCCACGTTGACATCCAGCGGAATCAGCAGGGAGACCATGCGGTTGGCAAAATGTATGGCCTGACTGTATAGCGTTGACTCCTCCGACTTGGCCAGTTCGGCCTTCTTCTCCTCCTCGATGGTGGGACTTTTGCGCAGTTGCTCGGCCGTAATCTCTAGGGCCGTGGGCTCCTCCAGTGGGACTTCATCTAGCACACAGTTTGCTTCCTTTTGATGCTCGTTTTGGCGACGGTGGAGCAGATACAATGCCTTTATCTGGCCCTGAACATCTTGGAAAAATGTGGACTCCCAGAACTGAATGTTTTTCCATATGGCGTGGTCCTGGATTTCCGTATAAGCGAACTGCACCACTCCAGTGGACAGTTTTCGGCAGAATATCGTGGACATGGGCAACAGGGCCGCTGCTACTGTGTACTCGTCAATCCCGAGGAATTCTGCAGCGCCTTGTTCATGAATCTCACCACCAACTCAAACTGTTGATGATCCAGCACCGCCTTGTTGCCATGCACGTAGCCAAAGAACTCCCGACAAAGGATCAGTCTCGCATCGCGATGCTTCAACGTTCGCATCACAGCCGGCAGCAGTTTCCTAGCGTCTGCAATTCGGTTCTCAAAGATGTAGGACACGCATGTCCTCAGAACCTCCAGTCGTCGGGCCGAGTTCTGGACATTTGGACGAACATCCAAGGCTTCCGGCAATCTGGGTCCCATCGGTATGATTCTGTGCTGATTGCGCGTTACATGGAAGCGCTGTGGCACTCCGTTCTTTCGTATCCCCTCTTGAATGATCAGCTCCACTTTCTCCGAGCTAATGCGCGGAAAGGCGGGCTGGTGGATCCGATGGAAGGAGCCCTCGGGAGGCCGTAGCACCTTCTGGGCATAGCTGGTGTGGGCCAAAGTGCCCTCGTTCTCGAACAGAGTGCGTCCCAGTTCCTGGATATGTGTGAGTATCTGAAAGGTGAGGAATATTTAATATATTTAATATTTTTATATTTAATGATTATTTAATCTTCCTGGTATAATGCTCCCCGTTAATACTCACGAGATTCCGATTCTGCGCCTCCGACTTGAGCAGTTCGTTCATGGAGCTGTAGAGCTCATCCCAGGCATCGGAGGCTCGCCAGGGGGGTCCTCGCTCATTAACGAACGTAGTGAAGAACATGCTGTCCAGAACCCGGAACAGGAACTCACTCTCGATCAAGTCCCGGGCGCCGAGAAAACCGGCCTTGTGAAAGGTAATCACTGGCTTGGGATGAATCCTAATAATGGTAAGGCAGGAGCGGTAGCCCTGCAGTAGCTGCGCGAAGAGGCGCATAAATATGGCGCGAAGTTCCTTATCGATTTGTGCGTCAGTCTTGGACAGGGCACTTGGCCGCTCCTGGGTGGGAAAGGCCAGGTCTGCCTGCGCCAGATTGGGGAACAGGATCATGCTGAGTAGCTCCTGAGTTTGCTCCCACAGTGGCGAAGGGAGGATGGGGACCGGTGGAGTAAGCGATGCTGGTATGGTGACCAGACCTCCGTCCAAGTCCACAACAATGACATCCAACAGATCCGTAATCTCCGTTTGCAGTGAACTGTGTATGCCCATGATGAATGGCGTCGGCGTGGACAGTACCTCCGTGAGCGGTGCCGGCAGAATGGGTATGTAAACGTGTGTATACCGAAAAGGATACATTAATGCCACCAGCGCCTTGCAGCTCTCCGTCAGGTGGCAATAGCACTTGGACAGGAACAGTATCTTGTTCTCCGTCATCACCGCACAGAGCAGGATCAGCACATTCTTAATGCCCAGCTGCTTAAACAGGAAGTGCACTCCACTGCCCGTGGTGGGCAGCGAGGAGCTCTGCGGCGGCTGCAGAGATTGCTTGTCGCCCGCTCCGATTGAGAAGCGCACCTGCGGCCCGCCAGCCGGTGGCACTTGTATGCAACCCAGGATGTTGCCAATGAGCGTCTCCATGCCGTAAGCTAGGTTCTCAATGTACACGGTGTAAATAGTGCCCAGACAGTTCTGTGAGAAAAGAGAGTGTATGAAGATGGGATACAAAAAAGGAGCAAGTTCAGCATAAGGGGTATATAAACCTTGAATGTGTCGGAACAGTCCAGCCGGGATATGAGTACCAAGCACTTTGGCGCATACATGACACTGTGGTGCGTAATGGAGGTTGCGGTCGTGACGCCATCTGTCGCAGAGGGTGTGCCGCCCGGCAGCAGCCTAGTGCTCCCAATGGTCTCATCCTCGTCGTCGACACTGCGCGTCTGCGTTATGGCCAGTGTCTCGTGGAAGCTGAGGCAGGCGCAATAGTGCTTGTTCGTATCGATGTCCGTCAGGACGGAGACGAAGAACTTGGGCTCCTGCTTCTCGTACGATAAGCTCCAGCCCAGCGGCTGGCAGAACTGCGGAAGAGGGGAACACCGATAAGGTAGGGCGTAAGCCGATATGGATATGTATGAGCTGGCGGGGAACGCACCCATTCAATGCCCTCGATAAAAGGGGTGTCCGGCCAATCTTTCTCGGGAAAGCGCTGCACGATCTTGCCGCAAGTCGGCTGCCCGCCCACATTGCTGGCGGTCTCTGTGGAAAGAAATTGAGACGTCGTTGGGGATTACTCTTTTGGAGACTGGTCTTCTCAGGGGGAATTTACTCACTCTCCTTATCGCTGTCGTACCCGACAATTACGAAGTAATCAGCGAGTCGGGACATCTTGTCCAGCACATTGCCGGCCCTGGTTGGAGGAGCGATGCGTCGTCAGTGGCCAAAACTGGGAAAACAGGGGAGCAGAGATGATGTTTTAGTCGTGGTCTCGCAGGGGGAAGATGACCACCTTCTGCGGTGGCAGCAGTGCCGTCATCCAATTTGATATGCTAATTAGGCGCTCTCTCTCTCTGCGTTCGGCATAAATGATTAGCTAGCTCCATGCTGATCGACTGGTCAAATTGTTATTGTATTGTGTCTTAGCCCCAGAGGCGTTTTTTCAGGCTTCTCGGGTCTTCGTCTTCGCCACTTCTTTTTTTCTTTTCAACCACACCCCGCGCCACACAAAGTAGAACGGGAGCACCGGGAAATCGTTTGCGGAGTCTATATATATATATATGGGGGCACGCACCTCGCAGCCGGCTGCAGCCAAACCGCCGCTCGCGATACAATTTTAATTAATTATAATTATTTTTAATTATAATTCTATCATGTCCCCGCTCACCAGTGTTGCCACTTATTTATATTTGCAACTAGCTTTAGTCTCTTATTTTAATTGGGGTATTCTCTACGATTAAAATACGAAATATATCGCGAAAAAATCCAAAAGAGTAGAAAGCTAAATTTGTATACAAAATCACAGCCGAAAATCATATATCTTGTATTTTTGTCGATTATTGTTTAATATGCTGTACCTTTAATATAGTAATCCCATATGTACAACCATTGTTCTTTTTTGGCAAGGCAATACATCGCTTTTGTTAAATACTTACATACGCTTCTCAACACTGCTTTAACGAGACGTCTATCGATTTTTATTGCATCCGGTATTAATCGTTTTTGAATTTCTTTAGGTAAATGTGTTCATGTTTAAAAAAAGATGCATAAGTATTTCGAATTTCTTAAAGAAGCTCTAAATGTATTCAAAGTAGAAATAATTAAAAACTTTTATCACAGCCGTAAGGTCTTTAAGCAGAAATCCCAAATAAAAGCCAAAAACATTCGTTTGGTGACTTAATTTTCTTTTCAACTTATATATAAATCACGATATCTTTGACATTATGAACTAGCGAGATATAAATACATAATAACATTGATGACTAACTCGTGTAAGAAGTAACTTATAATAGGATTTTTAGCTGATCTTTACAAACATATGACGTATACGTAACGTATGTACTATTCTGCAGGCCGGTCTCATCTGCTTTTCAAGGATGATTTCCGTTTTCTGTGGCCTTTGTGTCCGCCGTTGTTGGCCCTTGGTTAGAGCCTTCTTGTGGCGGCATGGTGAGCGTCACTGCGCCCTTATCCGTGTGCTTTATGTGCTCCATTTCGATGTCCGAACAATTCTCAGAGTTAGAAAGGGCCGAATCCATCGAGGTGACGGTCATATCCACGGCCTTGTCGCTGATGTTCGAGGACAGCAGAGGCTTCTCCACTGCAGGCTTTTCTTCCGCATCCTCATCCCGGTTGGGGGGCACGAAGTTATTGCTATTGATGTCCTCGATGGCTTTACGCAACTATTGAATGGAAATCGTACCATAAGAAAGAGTTTTTTCTAAATGACCCTGTAAATCTTACCTCCTTGAGGCCCACCACGCCTACAAGACGACCAATTTTGGTGACATAGGCGTGATTGATGCCCACCATGGAGAACAAGGAGTGCACCTTAAGTATGGAGGTGCGTTCCACCAGCTGGAAGGGTGAGGGATCGATATGCACATTGGCTTTTTGCAGATCGATGGGCTTCAACATCTCCTCGAGCTCCCATTGCTTCTGGTCCTCCGGCGACATGTCAATGACACGTTCCCTGGGCTGCAAATAAATATAAATTATATTTATTTGGAGTAAGCAATTGAAAAAAAAGTTATTTGTCCCAGACCTACCAACTGCACTGACTTCGTCTTTTGTATGCTCTTGTTTTGGATTAGTCAAAAACAGAATAGATATAGGGTTTTTTAGGATTTATTTATTATATTATTCCTTGGGTGTCTTCCATAATGAATATAATCACATACCTCCCCTTCCGTTTCCGGATTCGCCAATTCATCGATATCTTCTATGGAATAACCCATTCCATTTAATTCTTTGGCAAAACATTTCTTACGCGAAGGCGAACTCTGGTCTTCGACTTCGTTGGAAAATCGGATTTTCGTGGACCTTTCTTTGGGAACTAGATGTGGCGATCTATTTACATCTGCTACTTTATTTGTTTTAAACTTAATGCCTGGCCGATCTGGTGATGGGCTGGACTTATCCCCATTATTTGATAATGCAATTTCCGTGCTATCAGCAGGCTTTGTGAAAGGCATAATATTTATTTATTACTTTAAAATTTAGTTCTTCCTTTGATATCTCTAGCTTTTCTACAACAATTAAAATCATTTTATGCCTTACCAATGTTGTGGGTTCCGTTGAAATAGGGTTTACTTGCTTGCAGATATTAAATGGGGTTAACATTTCTCTTTAACATTTTTTAAAATATAACTAGGTACTTGATGAATGACAGGAGATGGAAGCTGGTTAATGGTCAGGGGACCTACTTACCAGCATAATTTGATCGGTTACAAAATCCCAATTACTTTGTGCATGCTTGAAATCAGAGATTCCCAAATTGGAATACCGGAAAAGGCGACCCAAAACACAAGATAACCCTCATTATGCGTCAACTTACCAGCTGAACCTTTTGGAAACACCCGGAGTGCTTGGCGTGCGCTGGACCTCCACCTCGTTGTGGCTGGCGGCCGGTGAGATGGAGCCCGTTTCCGGATCCGGCTGGACGTCCTGCAGCGTGGTGGACTTCTTGAAGATGGCCTCAAAGGCCGATCGGATTCGGAACTCGGAGTTCCCTGTTATCGTGGTGTATGGAGTGATGCTAGGACTATGGGCCAAAGGCTGCGGCGTGTAGGTCTTTAGATTAAAGGAGTTGGTCTTCTTCAGGATGGACTTCCTAGGTGCCAGGGAACCGTGCATCGTCTCTGCTCGCTTCTTGGGCGGCAGCATCTCGTCGTTGGCAATCTGCCGGAGGCTGAGAATGTCCGGAGCAGGAAGCACTTCGAACCGTGATGGTCGTCGCATCTTCAATTCCACTTCTTGCTTCTTCTTCTCCTCCTCGAGGGCTCGCTCCTGTGCCTCCTTCTGCCACTTCTGGGCCACCTCCATGCGCTTCTCCCGACCGATGTGTTTCTCAATCATCTTGATCAGCTCGTAACGCTGCACGGAGCCCAGCAGGATCATGTTATCCGGACTGTCCACCAGCGGCAGTGACCGCAGTGTCTTATTTGCCTTAAGGACTTCTTTGAGCTTCTGGTAGGAGATTCCATGCCATATGTACTTCACGTCCCGCACCATAAAGTCCTCCACGAATATGCTATACATGCCAGAGCTGGAGGGCAGGAGATCGGGCAGGTACGGCAGCTTCTTAATCAATATAATACTGTCGTAGATCGACGGTTGCAGCAGTGCCGCCACGGCATTGGCCACCAGCACAGCAATCATCACCGGCACCACATGCGTAATCTGGCCCGTCATTTCGAAGATGATCACCGCCACGGACACCGTGTGCGTCACGGAGCCGGAGAAGGCGGCCGCCCCGACGACGGCATAGCCCCCGGGCATGATGGGCGACAACCGACCGCCGTATCGGACGCCATGTGGAAAGGTAACCGCCATGAACTCGCCCACCAATCGGCCGAATCCAGCACCGATCTTGAAAACCGGAATAAACATGCCCGACGGAACTGGTATTGTGGAGGCGATAATGGAGAACATGAACTGCAAAAGGAATTGGGATTTAGTTAGTATCAGGGTTAACTTCCTACCAGAGTAACTCCTACCGTGAAAAGGGTGTATATCACTAGGTTTCCAAACACGCTGGTGTAGCCCGTCATCCAGTGAGTCACCACCGCCGCCTGCTCCACGGTCAGGTCATCTCGCGACCAAGTGAAATTACTGAAGAGCTGCGTCACCTGCTCGTGAGTGCTTAGCTCACCGGCCAGGAACTGGCCAGTGCCCAGGGGAAACGATATGCTGGAGACCAGCAGAGCCAGGAAGCCAGGATACAGGAAGCGACTGAAATACTTACAAATTAAGCCGAAGGAATCTTCGAGATCAATGGAAGATAACTTACTTCTTCTGCAGGAACTTGTTCATGCGCTTATTGGAGCGCATGAAGAGGACGTATCGCCGATGGACCCACACGTAGGAGGCACCACCCAGGCCGCAGACGAGTCTGGAAAGGAAAGTAAACCCTTAGACCCTCAAGAGATCCTATCCCTTGAACCAAGTACTTACCCAATCAAAGCAAAGACGAACAGCTCCTGGGGATCGAAGGGGAACTCAGTGGTGAAGTTCGTGAGGAACAGAGCCCGCACAGTGTCGGCATTTTGGAACCAAACAGCCAGGAGCCGGAAGACAGTGGCGCCGCATACCGCTGCAAAGAAGCCGCGCCAGTAGTTCCGCACCGCAAAGTATGTGGTCGTGACCTCGATGCTGAAGAGCACACCTGTGGGAGGATTAGGATTAGGAATGGCTCGAAAAGGGGCAAGGGAAGAGCATGTAGATATCTACTCACCACCAACGGGAGCGGCAAAGCAGGAGCCCACACCAACGGCACAGGCTGCCGCCAGCATTTCAGAGTTTCGCGACTCATTCTCATATATGCCTTGGAATGATGTGACAAGTTTACTTAATAATTGTGCTACAATACTTGCTATATGTACGAAAGGACCCTGGGGAAGCACGGAGAGAGATTGAGATACGGATGCGAGGCATGTAGATTTTCCAAATTGCACTTGCTGCGCCTCAGCGGCATGTGGCATGCAGTGTGAGATCAATTTTTATACTTACTTCCTTTCCTAATGGCATACCGCTGCCCAGAGTTGCCGTTAAACCAATCACCTTGGCCACTAATGTCTTAAATGTGAGATACTCTTTCAATTGAACGCCGCGCAGTATGGTCTTCATTTCGGGTATACCGGAACCTAGACACAGGTTTTTTGATTGTAATTATATGTACACATATTGATCATACTCGCAGGGATTAGTGAGTAGTAGTAGTAGTAGGAGTTCAGGAGCAAGAAGCTGAGTTGTTAGTGGTTCGAGTATTTAACATACAGACACAGGGGGGCACAGTTTCTTTTTTGGATGGTGCCAAGAGTGCTTGGAGTGGGCAGCTGCCGGAGTGCAGTGGTACTATGTATGGGTCAATATCTATATCATATTTTCAGTATTTAAAATTAACGAAAAAAAAACCCTAAAAACCTAAGAGATCTTTCAGAGCTTTCGGTTGTGGGAGAAGAGAGCCTTAGTCCACTGGGGAATTGTTCATACAGACTTAAATTCGTTCAGTTCGTTTACCCTAATCAACCATAGAAGTAAAGTAAGTAAGCACAAAATTCATACAATTTCTACAATTTTGGAAAACCGATTTCAGTTTAAGAACGTTATGAGAACACTTTGGAGGATCATTTAATTTTTTTACTCAAGCAGACTACTTTTGATAGGGAGTTTAGAAATTAAATATGACTGAAAATCAAATATATTATTAAACTTGAAAACTATTGTTGTTTGCAGTTGGAATAATGATTAAAACTAAGCTGAAATATTAACTACTTGGCATGTGTGATTGAAATATTGATTACACACGGTGGAATAAAGTCTATAACTACATCCTAATATAATCAGTATGTATGCCTTTTCTGAAATGTGTTAGATTTTTCTGGTAAAAGTATATCATTGGTTAGTTGAGCAATTGGTTATATTGGGTGGGAGAACAGTACTACATAAACTATCCAATAATATGACATCTGAAATCCTGAGACTTGTTAATCAAAACTCTTACCTATACTTTGCGGTGCGATGAGATGGACAAAGCCGGCCGAGAATAATATGAGGCAGACTGGGAGCGAGACCCATGCGATGTACTGAACAAAAGGCTGTGACGTCAGGTCGCGATACAGCCAAATGCGCGCTGGCGAAACATAGATATAAAAACGTAATGGGTACTAAAATCGGGCTAAAAAAAATCGATTAAAATTCAGCACTACCGTTTGTACAGATGGATATGCCCTTGTCCATGATGAATGAGAGCAGCGCCATTATGATGCCCAGCAGAGCCAGGAAGACCCAGTCCTCGCCCAGCCGGGCTATCGTGTGCTTCCAGATCCATGAGGACACTCGCTTCGCCCGCGTCGAATGCTTTCCTAGCAGTTCCTGCAAATATTTCCCAGCACTGCTGCTTTATAAACTGATACGTCCTCGAGGATCCCCCACGGATGGGGAAGAGACATGGGACATATGGGGCCAACTTGTAAAATTACTTGGCCAAATGGGACATGATGATAAATATCTCTATAGATCATACCTTAAATATTTAGTTTTCTCATATAGTTTGCATTCAAATCGAGAGCAAGTTCGTGAATAATAATAAATATTTGTGAGTGGATGAGAGATGCTAAAGCGTTCTATTTTATTTTACCTTATTCCTTTGTTTATCTTCCTGCTTTCGTCGCTTTTCGAGTATTTTGAGCTTTCTGGCTTCATCCTTGGCAAATTCTCCTAGATCTTTGGTATAACGACCATACATCTGTGAAGGGAAATTGATTTAATTAGTTAACTGTTAAGAATTGTCAATAGAAGCTTTAAATGTACCTATTTTCATAATGTTATTAACCTAAAAAGATATATTTAAAACCGAAAAAAGGAGCTTTTTGTTGTGTTTTGTTTTAAAAACGTCTGCACAAAACATTTTCTAGACAAATGCCAAGAGCAAGAGAACTGGTGACAATGTAGAGGAAGTGCACACAACACTACACTAAGAAATAAAGTTATTGATTATTGTTTTAAAATTATAAAATTAAGTAAAATATCAACAGCATAACTATATGGATGAACATAGAGTTGAACTAATTGAGAAGTATCTATTTTGAAGGAAACTTATGGTAAGCCTGTCTTAATTGAAGAATAGATTATAGTTTTGAACATTACACATTTAATTCATTTATTATTTATTTATTATATATATTTAGGTAAACTATGCGCCAACGGTTTAATTTACTTTGTAGAATACTCAATTTTCCACACACATATGTATTTCAAATTGCATTTGTTCCGATAGTGAATCAAATTTATTTCTGATTTGAAGGACAAACTTCAGGGTAAATTCTTTCTTTGCGTGTTCTTTGAGGGTCAATGTAAGAGTTCTATTGTGACAACTGAAAAACAAGTACTTTTGTGTTTATTTAAAAATTAAATGTTTTTATAAACACTATACAGAAAATAAATTATAAAGAATGTCTGAAATACTTAATATACTTGGTCATAAGGAAAGCCCAAAGAGAGCGTTGTAATTAGTTCAGATTTTAATATGTTTTCCTACTAAAGATATTAAAGAAAAAGTAAATAAAGATTATAGCATTTAACGTTGACCTATTTTAAAATAGTTTCCTTGAAAGTAGAGCTGGTAAGACTAAAAGCTTTTGATGTTATTGCAAACATCAAATTTAAATTGATAAGCATTCATGTTTTTCCAGTTTTAGTACAAAGTTTTTAGAGTTTAAGGGTACTTTTTGACTCCATTTCATTTGATTTTAAATACTCAGCATTTTCTGAGTCATGGCTATAAAAAGGATTTTAGAATCCCTTCAGTTTGTTTACACAGAATAAAATTACTTTGCCACAACCCTTTACCAACTTATGATATCTTCTGTTGAAAAAATAATTTCTTTAAAAATGGCTTTCCCATATCTTATGATATATTGATTTGCTAGTGGAAAACTTCAGGGTGATTTCTTTCTGTGTTGCTCTTTGAGGGTCAATGTAAAAGGGGGTAATGTATGTCGCTGCAACGCTACAACTGCTGGCCATGAACACGGATGCGGACTACGACTACGTGGCCCTACCGGGAGGGGGCCACTCACATAGTAGAAGGCCTCGATCTCGATCTCAATCTGATTCTTGTCATCGCCGGGCGGATCGATGCTCTGATTGCGATGCTGCTCCTTCTGCTTGGCAATGATATCATCCCAGCGTTGGCGCACGGGCGTGGAGTGGTTCTTGTGGGCGCGCTCTCGCTCCTCCCTGCGCCGATAGTCCTCCCGATTGATCAACAGCTCCGGCTCGAAGGCATATTCGCGAATGTACTCATCCTGGTGCGAGTGGCTGTTGTTAAACATGAAGCAAGCGATGCACACGAACGAGGTCCCGCACTCAAACTCAAAAATCGCACTCAAGTCACGTCACACAATCACAGTTGCTGTTGCTGTTGCTGTTGCTGTTGCATTTGCAGTCACACGAATTCGGGCGGCGGTGGCGGCCTTTGACATGCCCGCGGCTGTTGTTGGCTGTGGCTGTTGGCCGAATATTTGTGTCGCATCTTGTTGGCCAATATTATTTTTAGTTCTCGGTTATCTCGGCCGCCGTGGTGGTAACGTACGATGAGTCCCCGATTCTCACTGCCAGACGTAATTAGAGGTGGACGACGCAGCTGCCCTTGAGCCCCCGTCTCGGAAATGCGGCGGTTGTAAAATTCATTGCAATTTTATTTATAATTATTTCACACAGCACCCCATTGCATGGGTTTCCTCGTATATAGATTTTTGATTTATCGAACTGATCCCAGAGCACTCTGGCTTTCCTATAGCTGCCTTATTAATCCGCCATTCCTAGCGGCCATTATCTATCTATTGATTTCCGATCTCGCGCGACTTCCGTCCGCCACGAAGGAGGCTTCTTGCGGTGGCGTAAACTTTTTTGAAACTAAACTGACTTGTCGAGCTTTCGGCGCTCAGTGTGTGTGGAAAATTATTGAAAATTTTCTTTCGGCTAGACGCTGCGCCAGGGTAGCACGCTGTGTCGAATATTTTTAAAAAACGGCCCAAAGGAATACTTATTCAAAAACAAAAAAAAAATACGCAATGTTTACACAAATATGAAAATCGGGGAGGAATTGTTTTCAAATTCTGTCTGCTGGCTCGGCCATCAAAAGCAAATTGCCTTGGTATTTCGAAATGGCTCATAAATTTAATTGCACGATAATGTATTATCAATTTAAGATGTGCTCTTGAAATAATGTTTCGGGAGTTCTCTATAATCAAAGGGGTTTTTGCACAGTGCTCACCTACTGTTGGCCTTTTCACCTCTTTTCCGGCACCCTACTACCCTTAGCAAATGGTAATAGTTGTTGCTTGCTTTAAATATAATAAACACTATTCATTATAATCGGATTAAAAATAGCTAATGTCTTTTGTCCGCTGCTTTGTCATTCGTCGCACTTTGCTTTTGCATTGCTTTTACAGAGGGAGGACCCCAGATGCGAGTAGACGCGGGAAAATGGCCCAGAGTCAACTGGCAAACTGGCAGGAAAGGCGGCGAAAGCGAGCGAAAAGCTTGGAAAACCATTCAGAAATCGTAAAAAGTTTTTTGTTTTGATCGATGGTTTCACGGCAGATGTGTGTGTGCCGAATAAAGTGCAAATAAAACAGCGTCTGGCTACATTTCAATATCGTTAAGACTCAAATAATAAACAATTCGAAATTGCGAAAAAAGTTATAAATATAGCATACATTTCATTGCAAAAGATACAGAGTGAATGAAAGGAGGCGCGTTTTATAATTGTTTCACTGAGCTCCATTTAAATCACTGTTGATCTGGCATAATTTTGTTTTACAATAGCTCAACAGATGTTCGCGAAATATAAAAATAAAATAAAGATATTTTACGACAGCCTTTACGTGAGCATTGATAAAAGGTACGGACGCTCTTTGCGTCATGAATATTGGGTAATAATAATAATATGGATAATCAGACTTATTGGTAGTACTATCACGACAATACAACACATAACAAATGTCTATATATACAGTCAAGTTAAAGATTGTTTTACGAAATTTGTGTAATTAAAAACTAAGATATATATAAAGAAACGAAAGCCAAAAAGTGAGGTTTAAACGAAATTAATCAAGAAATTATTTATTATTAAATAAATGTTTAAATTATTACAAATTTAATGGTTGATTCCGTCATGCAATAAAAGTTTGTGTGGGATTCACTTAACCCCAGATCAGACAATAACACAAGGCTTTTTAATGGATATGGATTTCTTGGAAAATTAAATCATATTCTTTAAAGAAGTGTTGTATTTTAAAGATGAATATCAAAATAATAGTGTCTTTGGATATTTATTGATTTAAAATTAATTTTTGTAGTTAAAAACATTGATTAACTTTCAATATTCCTAGATCCTTTATGGCATTTTATTCTATTTATATTTTTACTCAAGAGAACTGGAAAAACATCGATCCTTATAAAAATATTAATTAACTTCCTTCCTATTTTATTATATTTCCTTATTTTATTAATACTATTAAAGTACTATATATTAACAAAACGGTCTTGAGTTTTCTTCATATTTGTTTCATATTTCTTTCTTTCCTGAAAACCAATTTCTTAAATTATGACCGCAGCTGTATGAGCACTTATAGAAAGCAGTATGCAAGTTCCTGAGACAGATATATGTACATATACTATATAGATAAGACTTCATTGCCCTGTGTTGCCAAGCAACAAATTGGATTTGCTTTTAATTAATAGTTGTAATTTCATTTCACAGATCCTCTAGATTTTTGGAATGCTTACGAGAGTATCGATATATCCGATGGGATCATCGTCATCCGAGGAGTCCGAGTCGCGGGCATTTTCGGTTGGCGGAGGACACGGATAGAAGGCATGCGACTTGATCTTCGCCTGGCGCTGGACATGGCGGAGTTCTTCCTCCATGGAAATGTTACTGTTGCGCCGCTTCCGCAACTGGCAAATGAACTTCTCAAAGTCCGCCCACTCCGAGTCCACCAGTTCGACATTCTCCTCCCCGAACTCCTCATCGTGGATGATTCGCTCGACTTTCTGATTGTTCCGATCGCGATTGCGATCACGATCGCGGTGCCGATCGCCGAAGTAAACCATATTGCGGGTGTCAGCTATATCGGATCGGGAAAGGGAACGGAACTTCGGGACAGGTGATCGGATTTAATGGGTTTATAGCAGTTCAACGCGTTCGATGGCGCACTATCAGAGATGGGAGCGATACGGACACGATTTCGTCACATCCATGGCACAGATAGGGCTCATTTTTCCGAAAATTCAATTCCGATATGGGTTAGATATTCCCGGCCGCGTGTGTGACCCGGGCAAAGTTCTCAGTTCAACTGAATAGTGTGATGAGAATGGCGACCGATCCGGTGCCGTTTAAACTCAAGATTCCATTAAATTTAGTACACAGACACCGACGCACTCGTCTGGACGGTTGGACGGTCGTCGGTCGATCTTCCCCCTGCCTCAAGTCTCAAGATACACTTTATAAGTAGTTCACATCTACGAGTACGTATGAGCCAGTGAGTGACTCTCGAGCGGTCAAAGTTTGCGTGTAAACATCAATAGAATTTCATAAATTTAATAATCTGGGGTTTGCTCAACGGCAAAAAAGTGAAAATGCCAAGCGCTTGGTTGACACTAAATGCGCACAGTGGAATGGGAATAGTGCTTATTGGTGCAATTTGTATACAATTTTAATTAAATTAAAAAAATGGAACTTGTTAAGAACTTAAATATGGGATATTTAATCAATAAGTAATATCTTCAAAGTTCCTGAAGTTCAGCATGCCCTAGAAAATCTCAAGTAATGAGTTGGAGATATAAATGATCTAGTTATAAGATTTACCATGATTGTTTCAATGGTATTAGAATTTCCTACTAATACATCCTGGTATTAAGTCAACAGAATTACTAAATAAAGAGGAGTAACTTGTTCCAAGCTAAATGATCCTTGTTAATTAAAGAGATCGCCTGATTTTAGAGAACCTTCTGTAGGACTTAGCCCACTGTGTTGGATCACTTAAGCCGCATAAATTGTGATTACTTGCTTTAATAGTCTCAATGTGGAGACTAGGCATTGGGTCACAAGTCTTTGAGCATCTCTTGGATTTATCATATTTAAGTGAAGCCGTTGTTTTAGTACAAGTACGCCTGCACTATTTTAAATTTCATTATTATTGCTTTTACTATTATTGTCTTGGTCAATCTAAGCTCCCTTCCCCCTTATAAGCGATAAATGTAGCCCTAAATGGGAATAGATTGTTAGTTGGAATATATACAGAGTGTTTATTCCATAATCTTTTCAGTTTTATATTTTGCACGAAAGCAATATAGATAGGAATAAACCATATCGACAGTTTAAGAGCGACAGTAAAGAGAGTGAAAGCCTTATCACTTTCTGTTAGATATCAGTGCACTGCTTCGCCCATTAAGCAGTGTAGAAATCGGGCATTATGTTTCTGTTAAATTGTGATTGTGTTCCAGAATGCTAAATAGGTGTTAAAATACAATTCTAAAGAACATATATTCATATATTTAAACTGTCTTTCAATATCTGGCTAAACATGGAAAAGGTAAAAGGTTAAAATGTTCAATGATCCACATAAGTAATCGTATTTCTTGACTACACATTCCCTTTTATGTTATTGCCTTAAATCAATATGGATTAATGCTTGAAATAGAGTGTTTGTTTAAGAATTTTTAAGGGTAGTCCAATTAAGAACCAAAAGATAGTTACTATATACATATCAGTGTATCTAAGCACCTCTATATCCCCTCATGAGTTTCTTGAATCTGCTTTAACTTTAATAAAAGTCTATAAACATTTCTCTCAAGAGGGCCTTGGTCAAGGTTATATGAAATTATCGCGACTTTCAAAAGAACCATAAGCCAGAGTATGTAATGAATATCACACGATGGCTCCATATTACTAGGAAATATGATTTATGTGTCATGCTCAAGGAATTGAATTAACTTTGGTATATTAATTGTTCCTCAAATCAAAGTTCAACCATCGCACAAGCCTTTACAGATATCTCAATATATATAGAGAACTGCTGTGTTTGCCATTATACCGGCGATATGATAATTTACTTACTTTTCTGTGAGGTGACATTTTCGAGCTCATATGATAGAAATTAGCAGGCTTGCGATAAAACAAAGTGATCTTGGCTAAAACTGTGTGGCGACTGGGGAGCCAGCATCTAAGGCGAAGCTAGAGACACCTCCCAATCCGCCAGAAGCTGCGATAAGGGCCGAATGGCAAAAACACCTGACGCACAACCCCCCAAAAGGATGAAGCCGCAAAAGCTACCGAAATTAATTAAAAATTGAATCAAATCTTTGGGCAAATATCGCGTGTGCTTAGCATCTCGCGGTGTGTTGTATATGGGCCACTCGCCAAGATCCATGGCCAAAAGATAAATCCCCAGCGCGTGAGCGCAAATACCAGGCCATAAAAAAATATATATATAATTTTAGCTAGATTACTTTATGATTCGAGCAAAAAAGAAAACATATCTCTATGGCCCATTAAAAATATTATTTGCAGAGCTCATAATGGATGGGAATGGGAATCCAGTCTGATGGTAAAGCAATAGAGCCGTCTTATTTGGGAAAACCCCAAACAAACTAACTAAATCGAAGTGATTATTGATAAAGACTTGATTTTGATGGATGGATTGCGATAAGAGTCAAGTGGATAATGCTTTATTTGAGCTATCGGGGAAGCAATTGAGAAGCTTGAGAACCTCATTTCCTTTCATAAATTGCCGTTTATTAATTAAGAATATTTGTTTTTTTTTTAAAGATTATAGCTTATTTCTAATTGGTTGCTCAAGTGTGTGGATAATTTATTTTTATACCCTTGCAGGGTATTCGAATTTTTGTCAGAAGTAGAAGGAGTCATTTCCGAGTCATTTCCGAGCCTATAATCATATATAATCTTGATCAGCATCAATGGGCAAATCTTTTCAGCTTTATTCGGCAAAAAAAACATTTTTTTCATAAATTTTTTTCAAAAAAAGGAAAGGGGAAATTTTAAAAAATTTGTAAAAATTTAATTTTCTTAAAACTAAAACTAAAACTTTAAATCGAGTAAAAATAGTAAAGTAAAAATTATCAAAAGGCCACTTTCCGAATTAAAAGAGTTTTTTAAACTTAAAATTTTTTTAATTATCGATTCAAAGAATACGAATATTTTAAACTTAGTTTTGGTTGATTTCTGATTTGATCTAATAACTCAATAACAAACATCAAGGGTATAAAAACATTGGCTTCCCAAAGTTAGTTTCCTTGTTGGTTTTTAATTACATCTGTCAAAAGATAAGCTACATTTTTCCAGATTTATTGTTGTTAATATCTGAAGGTGTTAATTAAAATGTCTCAGATAACTTGGGTTTGCGTTGGTTTTAACTGGACTACAAGGGAAATTCATCAATAAACATTCAGCATTTAAATAATAAACCAGAAACCCTTTGTTTGACTCGTGGGAAGTTTGCTTAATATTACAAAAAAACCTGATCAGCATTATCCTCAGGCAAAATGGTTGAATCATTCGAATATTGTTCAGACACATGACAGGAATTAAAAAACAACAAACAAAAATTGAGCAAATAAAATGAAAAAACAACTAAATAGTCACATGTTAATCACATGAGCGGAAAAAAGTAAAACAAGAAAACATGTTTGTAAAGGCATATAGAACGGAGTTATACCCTCACTGAAAATGCTTAATTATGTTCCCTAACAAATTCTCTATATGGCATATGGTATATAGGATATATAATTCATAAAGAATGTAGTTATTCCCTCAAAGATTCACAGAATAGATATACCAATATTTGCTTAGCTTTATAAGATCAAGCAAATTCTATCTTAAATGCTAAATAAGTTATATCTGGCTTTACAGAAATATATATAAAAGAGTATTCAGGGATAAGTGTCAGGTCTTAAATTGGTCCTAGTCAACTAATTATAATCGAGTAAAGCCCCCGTGCTAATAAAACCAACTGTGACAAGGTTGGAATTGCCGAATCTAAGCGCCATACCGATATGTTTATGTAAATACAAATATAATATACAGCAATTTATTATTATCAACTCGGGAGTTTCCAGTCAACCAATTACGATAAAAAAAAATTAATAACAAACAAGTGATGGTGTGGGCTGTGTGGGTGCTCTAATGCAAACACATTTGTGGTCTTTAAATAGATAATTGTATTTTCCTATTAGCACGGGTATTTACGGCTCTGTTAATAATCGAATATTTATTTGATTTTCGTTGAGGAAATTCGCCATGGCATTACGCTATTTAAAAGATTAACACTTGATGCGCTACCGTTATAGGTATTTGCGACGGCAATATATAGCAGAGTTTACGCTTATGAATCGGATTGCCATTGTAAAACAATCAATCAATTCTCGAACAATAAAATTGCCGTCGTGATAACTGACCGATTTCAGCGGCGCCCTCAATAAACCACATCAACGATAATCGTAACTGGGAACTAAAAAAGGTGTTGTGATTCATAAAAACCAATTCAAATTAGCGTTAAGTAAAATATGAAGCTAACAAATACTGCAAATATTAGATAAATCATTATAAAACATTCACTTTCCTATGTCTTTGCTCCCTTGAATACAGAATAGAACTGACTCACATTGAGATTATTGTTTCACAAACCGAAGAGAATATTTTGGTTTATTTTTTGGCATGAAGAAAAATTGATGTGGAACCTAAAAGCTAAAGATGGGTTGCCGGGGGGAAATTCGAAAAAATATAATGGAAAAACCAGCATCGATTCTACTTTTCAATATAGGGAACTATGTTTGTATTTATGATATTGGCTAGCATTGGAACAACATGCCTTTGATCAGCCAGATCAGTATTGGAAAATATTGACAACCGAATGCAACTAACCGCAAACAAACAAGTCAATAGAGAGTGACGCCGTGTCAGGTGATAGCCATCTTGATATAAAAATGGCATATTATATAATCTGGAATTAATGATGATCGAAATTATCTTGAATGGGTAATAGCGTAAGCCATCTAGATGCTAGATACTAGATGAATCTTGAGCTATTAGAGGGGCTAATGAAATCTTGATAGCTTCAACAATAGTTTAGGTTTCCTGTTACTTTGTATGAAGATCAAATAATCTGTAGTAACACTTTTATTAGCTAAAATTACATGGAAAATTACTCAATACAAGTATGCAAGCAATTATATTTATTAAATCAGTGTTTAAACTATAGAAAAATGGTCATCTTCATCCTAGATAGAAAAGTATTAATACCTATCTTAGCCAGGGGAATTCGGTAATCAACTAAAGATAGAATTTCTCATGTCTCTAGATACCAAATACTAAATAATATAGTATTGATTGTCATATTTTCGATCCATAACACTTTGTCAGATTTATAACTTTATTTCCTAAACTATAAGATATGATTTAATTTCCAGGACATCCCTGAACAATACTAGGACATATGCTCCCCCTCTTTTCACTCACCAGTGTGTGGGTATAGCCGAGACCTCCTTCCTCGTCGTCTCCCTCTGGCAAAGGACTTCCAGGAGTCCTGTCATGATGATGGCCCAAGGACGAGGCATTGGAGTAGGTGCGCAGGGGCGTTAAGCGAGCTTGTGGCGACGGAGCGATGAGCAGGGTCTGCCCCCCATTTTTGGTTACCTTCATCTTTGGCCGGCAGTGCTAAGCGGCAACTCGGAAGTGAAATATCAGAAGCTCGATCTCGATCTCGATCGCGTCAGCGGCTGTGGCACACAATGCAAGCGGAGGGATTGCATTCGTCACTGGTGCGTGTGTCGTATGGCTTTATGAAAGCAAATTCCTTGGTCTCATTTGTGCATTAAATTCAATTATCTGCAATGCGACGAAGTCACAAGACCACTTCCTTTTGAATGACCACTACTTGGGAGTGGAGTTGATCCGCCGATCCACCGATCCGCCGATGTGACCGCGGCCAAAGATTATTTATGAATATGCTGCTGGTGCTGGTGCTGCTGCTGCTTCTGGCAGACGG